TGTTATAAAGGGATGGGAAACATGAGGGAGGGTTATAAAGGGATGGAAAACATGAGGGAGGGTTATAAAGGGATGGGAAACATGAGGGAGGGTTATAAAGGGATGGGAAACATGAGGGAGGGTTATAAAGGGATGGGAAACATGAGGGAGGTTATAAAGGGATGGGAAACATGAGGGAGTGTTATAAAGGGATGGAAAACATGAGGGAGGTTTATAAAGGGATGGGAAACATGAGGGAGGGTTATAAAGGGATTGGAAACATGAGGGAGGGTTATAAAGGGATGGAAAACATGAGGGAGGGTTATAAAGGGATGGAAAACATGAGGGAGGGTTATAAAGGGATGGGAAACATGAGGGAGGGTTAGAAAGTGATGGGAAACATGAGGGAGGGTTAGAAAGGGATGGGAAACATGAGGGAGGGTTAGAAAGGGATGGGAAACATGAGGGAGTGTTATAAAGGGATGGGAAACATGAGGGAGTGTTATAAAGGGATGGGAAACATGAGGGAGGGTTATAAAGTGATGGGAAACATGAGGGAGGGTTAGAAAGGGATGGGAAACATGAGGGAAGGTTATAAAGGGATGGGAAACATGAGGGAGGGTTATAAAGGGATGGAAAACATGAGGGAGGTTTATAAAGGGATGGGAAACATGAGGGAGGGTTATAAAGGGATGGGAAACATGAGGGAGTGTTATAAAGGGATGGGAAACATGAGGGAGTGTTTTAAGGGATGCGAAAACATGAGGGAGGGTTATAAAGTGATGGGAAACATGAGGGAGGGTTAGAAAGGGATGGGAAACATGAGGGAGGGTTATAAAGCGATGGGAAACATGAGGGATTGTTAGAAAGGGATGAGAAACATGAGGGAGGGTTAGAAAGGAAGGAGAAAGCTTGAATCATGGGAGAGGGTTAGAAAGGAAGGAAAAAGCTTGAAACATAGGAGATGGTTAGAAAGGGTGAAACATTGGAGAGGGTTATGAATTTAAGGGACAGAAAAAAAAAATCATGGGGGAGGGCTATAAAGGAACAGGAAAGGATGAAATGGTGGGGAGGGTAAAGAAACAATGTAAAGGACATAAAAGTTCTGAAAGTAGCTTACAATACAAGTATAATGATATTTGTATGAAGGGAGTTGTAAGGGCAGTTTCCAGGGGAGGTTGGGGGGGGGGGTGGGGGTTGAAACCTGCATAGAAGGTTAAACACAGCAGTCAATAGTGACACGTTAGGTTCAAATTGCAGTTATCTGCCTGATTCTGATTAGTTTTGTTGGTCTGTATTAATTCACAGAGCTACCATTTTACATCTTAAATAGATCACTTGAAAAATGGTTCATGTTACAATTGTTTTTCATGATAGGCAAGTAAAGGTTGATCTCCCAAATGGTTTGATGGGATTCATGTTCAGCTCTCACGGACAATGAGTAATTCTTGAGGTGATAACGGGAGATAACTTCACAATTTTATGGTGAAATGTGGTGCTTTATCTCCCTTATCTGACACGTGGAGATGTGGAATGCACACATGCAGACTCCTGCAATAATGATCATTTTCTGTTGTCTGAAATAGACTTCCACACACCCACCCTCTCTGTAGACACCTGTTGTGTCTGATAAGGTCACTTTACATTGAAAACAATAGAAAACTTGAGTGTAATTTCCAATTAATGACATAATTAAAGATATATATATGTATTTTTATTTATTATTGTAACTGTTTTATTTGGATTTTTTTTTCAATTTCATTTTTCTCTTAAGTAAGGAGGCAGTATCGAACATTTACAATGAAAAAGATTTTTTAAAAAAAGCAAAATTCAGATAAATTTAACTGTCTTTAAACCAAATTCTATCGGAAGAAAACTGTACTGCAAGCCTTATACCAGGGTCCCTGACTCCCTGACTCTCTGACGTGTTTCTTTATAAGAAACAGGAGTTGTATAATCTTATTTCTCTCAACTATACATCCACATGTGAATATTTTTTTGCAACATTTAAGCCATATCAATTATTTAGATGTTGACCAAATAAGGAGTGCTGTCTTTCTGACTTAATTGTCATCATTCACAGTGTGCTGAATCATTAGGTTGAATTTGACAGTACACTGGCAAAATTGAAATTCAAGACTTTGACATTTGTATACATAACATAGGTCAACCATAATTTTGTTTCACAAAGAAAATTTTTAAGATTTTGAATACAAAGGAATTTCCTTAATATACCTTAATAAGTTGTGGGAGGGAACTTATCAAATGAATTGTAAAGAGAATCCTATAATTCTACAGCTCAAGAGGGGAGATTCAGAAAATCAAAGGTTCGGATGGAAGGAACTGTATGGTAACTCATAGTACAGTCTGTAAACTGTCATAACTACATTACAGTCCTTCATTTTGAGGATCAAAGGAATAATGTGAAATTCTTGCATCATAATAACTGTTATAATAGAGAATTTTAACCTCCTCTTACTGTGAGTATGGTGAGATGTTGATAAAATCGCAAAGGAAAGGAATTCGCTCCCACAGTCAGAATTAAGGGAACTAATTTAATACACAAATGTATTTGAATCAACACTTCAAAGAAGTACTTGAGAAAGTTATAAATTCTTTGAATAATTAATAGAAGTTTAATTGAAGCTTGAGATTTCATCAGGGCATAAAGCACATTAGTGGTTTTTTTCCCTGTGAATTTTTCACAGCCGTTTGTTATGACCGCAGTTCCACAGTGGGATTTGCAAAGCACTGCAGGGAATAGGGATCAGAAGTCAAAAACTTTACCATAGAATTTTTTTTAAAAAATCACAAGTAAAGGTTATAAATAAAATTTGACCTAATTCATATGACTCATTGTTAATTTTAAAAACGTTTTAGCCAAAATGAATGGTGTGGATCTATCTCATAAAAACAATCAGACAACCAAGATTAATCTTTGTCACTTGGGAGCTTGGGTCACTATCAGATTGTCACAGCAACATTTATTCTGTCGTGTCAAAAGTAGGACTTGGATTGCACAGAATGTTTTTTAATATCTGTAGATTTTTTTTATCTCTTTTTCATTGTTTTCTTTTAAAATATAACATTTATACTGTTTATTTCAACTAAAAAAATGAATTCTGATGTTGAAAGTGTCAGTGGATTTATTATGACAACATACAAATTAAATGATAGTATTTTGATGTGAAAAGATGTTTGCAGTGACATAAGAAACTATAGTGTAGCTATTGTGATTTTATTTTTTGTCTTGTTTCATCATCACAGTCATTGTGTTTTAAGATGTCCGCTTGTTTTAATGGGTCAAATCACATTCTGATGGATCTGCCAATCACTCGTGTGTCGCGATGAGATTTCAGCCAATCAATATGGAATTAAAAGTTGAATTTTGTGTCAGTCTTCAGAAGGTTATAAAGTAAGATAGAAGACGTGTAAAGTACATGCTTTGATTCAATTTGAGACAATTAAGTGCTGCCTTGAATGTTAAATTGAACTCCTACACAATGAATCCTGTTAGACTGGAATCGTAAATGAAGTAACTGCGGTGAACTATTTTCTATCATGCGTTTCTTTCATGACATTCTTGGAATTCCATCCTACACTTAAAAAACAAAAGTACAAGAGTTTGTAAAAAAAAAAAAAATATTTAAAGCTAATGTTTAAAAAATATGCAGTATCTTCAAACAGTTCACTATACATATAAATACAGAAATAGCAGAGCAGCCAATCCATTTGGTCAAAGTTTAAAAAAAAAAATAAAAATACATGACTCTGAGGCATACAAAACTTTAATAGCAGAGTCACATGACGCTGCAAAATCATATGTTGATTAAGTCACATGACACTGGCAAAAAAAACATGTAGGTAGCTTATGACACTAACAAAAACAGGTGAATAAATATGCTACACGAAATAGGAATTCAGTTTTACACAGAAATAGCAGAAGACTTAATGGATAAATGTAAGGTTTGGCTAGGTTGTGTTAATTCATTATCATCCTGTATAAACATGCCACATCGTAATGTCTCCACGCTGCTAACTATTAATGACATGCATTAACCATGCAATGCACATGTAATGAGAAACAGAGATTAACCTTATCCGTACAGCTCAATCTCCCTATGCGCTAATCCAATAGTCACTTGGTGGCATTTGCTCGACTATAAATTTTTTTTTTTCGTTTTTTTTTTTTTTTTTCTGTCCGACATGGATTCACAGAGATTTTGTTGGCAGCCGTCATTTAATTTCACTCTTATGATCCAATTTGTACTCCTTCATTTAACGTTGATTACAGAATGAGTTCTGTTGGTGTAGAGGTAAAATCTAGCATTGATGTGATCCAGTTCGTCCATAAAGTTTTAAAATAAACATCTGATTTACCCAGTGTGTTTTTTACGATGACTGCCCACACTGACTAGGGTTATTCAGTTAATTGAAAATGTATACCAGTCATGCTGGTTTCAAGCCTGGTAAATGTCAGGTTTTTTTAGCTGGTTTTCATCTGCATTTGGTTTTGTTTTTCAGTAAAAACACTTCTAAATTTTCAAATTATTAAATTTACACCATGTGAAAGTTTTGGTATGAAAGGCCAAGTGTTTTTCTGTGTGAGATTTCTAACAATGGAACACGAACAACCCAGGCTCCGTATCGGATAACAAACAGGTTGTGTGGATAATTTGGACGTTACATATATACTTACTTGATTGGGACTTTTGATAGTAGATTTCTTGGCAAGATTTGATTTTGTGAGATAGAAAATTTAGTAAGATATATTGCATATCAGATCAAAATGGAAGAGATATTCCATAAATTGTGGCAGTGTGACGGTGGAAGTTTCGTCAAATGGATTGCGTGACATCAGTAATGAGATTCCTGGTGCTGTCATGTGTGCATCACAAAATTTGTTTTGTTTTTATATTATGCTTTCACTTTATCTATGGTTAATATTGAAATAGAATATCTTTTTCTTCTACTTTGCATTTCCTAGTATTTTATGTGTGGCTTTCTTTTGTCATTGACAGGATGGAGGAGACTGTGAGAAATATGATGCAGTATAAATCTAAGATTGACCAGCTGAAGCAAGAAAAGTCCAGTCTATCCATCACTTATGAGGTAAGGAGCAATATTAACTCTGTAGAAATCGACTCATGTTAGACCGATAACAACTGCAAATTGTTTACATCAATTATCAATCGTTTAATAAATACCATTCATGTTTCATTAATTCCTAACATCAGGTGATAGATATATATATTCATTTTAAATTGATATCATTTTCTCCCACAGAACAACATGCACAAGTACCGTAACCACATCAGCACGCTGGAACGGGAAAATATCATGCTTCTCAATGATGTCAAGCGATTTGAGTCTCAGGTTAGTTTCAGCTTTTTCAGTTTTTGTATCAAAAGTAAACATTCGCAAGTAAATTAGGATGTCAGTAATTTTTGAGATTAAATTAAATTGTTGTTAATTTTTCCATTTTTTGAAAACACTTTTCATCAAATTGTTTATTCATTTCAAGAATTTGATATTTGATCTGGTTTGAGTCAGTCAGTTTTATAATGAAATACTTGCAGCCGATCAGCGGAAAGATGGACGATCGTACAAAACTGTTACTCGGTCGACTCAAAATGCTTGAATCGGAGAACTCAGCATTGGTGATGGAGAATGAACAACAACGACAACAGTATGAGAAGTGTCTCGACGAGATCGCTAATCAAGTTGTTCAGGCCTTACTGGCTCAAAAGGTCAGAGTTCAATCATAATTAGGTGAAACGTTCAGATGTTTGTTTAAAGAAATTTTAGAAACTGAATATTTATTTGTTGTAAATTTTATATTGTGACATGTGACAGTAATCAGCTTGTTCCTCTAATTGTCACAATTTCTCCGACAGCTAGGTAATATGTCTGTTTTTGATCAGATTTTACAGAAAAGACCGCAGACATACGATGTCCTTCGTGACTCGTGATTGTAGATATAAAGCATTTTATGTATGATAGGGCACATTTTTGGTGAATTATCAGACAGCGGATAAAATAACAGACCTATATATAATCAGGTTAGGAAGCTGCAGCATTAATACCTCTGCATGGTCACCCCTCGTGAGCCACATTTATTTCAGTGGTGCCTCCTAGTTTGGCGACTTGATGGACAGAAGTAAAATAATCCGTTTCAAATTTAAATGTTCAGTCACATTCAATTATTCATCAAATTATATTGATAAAATTTGATTTAGTTAGGGCTGAAGTATTGGTAACCGGATGTCAAGATGAATGTTTGATTAATTCCATATGGTTACACGACCATGTATACAAACTTGGTGAGAAAATTGTGAGATGACAGTCTCCGACCAATCAAATTATTGCATTCATAACATATTGATCGGTTATAATCAGTGGAGATTGTCAATTGACCAATCAGACTTCAGCTCTTTTATTCAATTTATTTATTTCTGCCATCTTTTTGGAGTGGAAATTATTCAGATATAATCTAACTAATCAAATATTCTGTTTCAAATAAATGATGGCTATCGATCCATTATGTTAGCTTCCAGCTGATTGGATATTTGATATCTTCACATTTTCAATGGTAGCTAACTGTTGAATTGCCAACTGTTGATGGCAGAAGAGATTTTCATGAGAGTTTTTTTTTATTGTCTAACTTGGGAATAAACATGTTGACCCATGCAAATTGCGATAGGCTAGATCAATTAGGAAATAGACATGGCATGTGTAATACAAGGTTTTCAAACATTTTTGTATGTTTTTTTTTCAAATTGCTATTTTTTTTAAGACAGTTATACTATTGTTTTGTTAAACTTTATGAAGTTCTAAGGAGAGTATTTTTTACTTATATTAATATCACTGAAATTGACTTCTGAAATAAATCTAAGTATAAGTACTTTGTGGAGATTTGAAAAGTAATTGATATCTTTGTGTTCAGATTGTAAAAATGAGTCTTTCTGATTGTAACATGGTTCAGAATTGTCATTAAGAATTTCAAGAGCCAGATAGAGAAGACTTTTTTGAAGACCTTATTGGACCTTGATTTATGTACCTTACAGACCCTGCGAGAGGAGTGTGTGAAGCTACAAGGACGAGTCCAAGACCTCGAATACCAGAATCATGAACTGAACAGCATGTTCCAGCAAAAGGTTAAGTACGACCCCTCTATTCAGGACGCTGTCTTACCAAGCGTATCCATGGCAACAGTGAGCGCAAGTGTGACCTCCACATCCACACCTGAACAGATTTCTTCCACGGCCATGGCCCTCACACAGACTATGGTAGGCAAATAGAAAATGTCCGGCACTTCTGAAAATCACATGCTTAATCATTTTAAGCTAGATAATGATAAAAATAAGGTGTATGGTTTCTTCATCAAGGATTTTTTCTACTTAATTGTTTCAAGAGATGAAATATTCTTGAAATATACTTATCTCTTAAAAGCACTTGAAATATGTAAATGATGTATTATGTTTGTGAACTTTAATTATGTTATTATTTGTGATATGAAGGTGTTCACAACGAATTCAATTCTTCTGTTTACAGTGACTGAAGTCATCAGTGTTTATGTTTGGACTTGTTGCCATTTTTTACATTTTTCTCCCAATCTTGATAGATTTTGCATGATCTTTAGAAAGTTTATAGAGTCTTAGTAGAAATATCTTCATCTTTCAGCATCTCTCCCCTATGTCCCAGTACGTTCTACAGACCAAAGTGGCCCAGAAATGCCTTGGCCAGTACATGCCTGGGGAGTGTACCGATTCTCTACACAGTATATGTAGTAATTATGTACGTGTGCATTTCTTTAACCTCTTAAATAAATTTTTTTTGTATACTTCTTTTATCTATTGTGATACAATTACTTTAAAATCAGGTGTTTTTGTGGGGTTCAAATGTTGTTTTTTTTTTCTTCTAAAAATAAACATTTTCATCAGCGCTGATTTCAGGGTTAAAACTAACTCATAGTCAAATCCTTGTCAACTTTGAGTTGTTATTTCATGGACATATACATTAGTAGATTTTCCATGAAATCAACAAATAAAGGTTCCCGTTAAAATCCTGGTTTCATATTTTTCTCCTGTAGATAATCTAAACCTTCTTTGATTAATTTTTCAAATTTTGCATGTTTTTTTAATTTATTAATCTATTATTAACCAACTTTATAAAAGCTGAAGACTTAATTAAAAAGTGCTGTATACTGTACCCTCTATCATTAAGATATTAATACATCGTAATTTCAAAATATTTCCAGTTTTAGAAATTCTTGATTTGCTAGAAAAATAAAGTCGTAAAAAAGACAGTTGATGAAAATTTATGTTTTTTAATTACAAACTAACTCTGCCTAATAAATGAAATAAGGAAAAAATTATGATTCTAATGACGAGTTATTTTAAAATATTGAAAATTTCATCTTTCTTCTTTGTTTTGTAGACCTGTGATGACAGTCTTGGAAAACCCCAAATGAGTTTGCCTGTCTGGTCTGCAGAGCACAGTGGTCCGCAAAAGAAACAACATGGACTTGCGTCTTCTGCTGGTTCAACCAAAGTGCCCTCTGGTGGTGAACAAAACAACGAATTTAACTGTAGGACAAAAATAGAAACTGAGTTTCCTGCTAATAATTCAAGTCCGAAAATGAAACATGTCAACATTATGGAACGAGCCAATCAAAAACGGCAACGAAGCTCATCAACTTCCTCTTTACAATCAAATTCAAACTCAAGGTCAGCAAAAACAAGGTCAACAGCTTCACTCAATAAGAGCAAATTAGGTCAAGCAGGGTCTAACGGATCAAAAACTTCCCTGTCAGGGAGTCAACGTGAACTCTGTATGCAGAGTGATGCAATGTCAGGAAAGCGGAGTGTGTCACACCCAGACCACATTGACAAAGGGGTGACAAACACTCATGCTCCGAAATCTGTCCGAAATCCACAAGGTGGCTCAGTTGGCAAATTCAGCCAATTCCAACAACGAGAACGGTCTTCCTCTGCTTCATCAATACCTATTAAAAGGGGAAGTAACTCAGGATGTGGAAAAATGCAAAAGTCCATTCCTCAAGTATCTTCCCACTCCAAACTACCCTTAAAATCTCAGGAATCAAATGATAATTTGTTAAGAAACAAGAAATTCTCAGACAATGTGAAATCTAGTAGTTGTGGCAAAGTTCAAGGCCACAGAATTAGAAAAGAAATGGACCTTAAGGTCATGACTTCAAGTGCAGGGGCTGAAGTGAAAGATAAGATGGCAGCTTTACGCCAAACATTTGGAAGTCCTCCTCGAGTTCCGTTGCTGCCAAATGGCCAGTACTTCTATGATTACAGTGACGAGGATAGTGACTTCAATAGACCTGTGTCCGCAGACTTCAGCAATACCTCTACAATATCATTAAATGAAATCCTAGACAATAGTGATGACACAGATACCTTATTGGAAGAAGATTTTACAACAGAAAACTTTGCTTTCTTTGAGTCACCATCTTTCGTGAAAAAATACCACAGGCATTGTGACCGCCAAAAGTCGAGGGTTGATTCAAAGAATGTAGAAATCCATGACAAAGGAGTTCCAGGTGCTAGACTTCATGGTAAACCTGATATTATACAAGACACTGAAAACAGTGAACTTCAGAACCAAGGCAAATGTCCAAGAAGTCCATACATTCCAAAGAAACGTAATTCCCTGCAACATAGTAAACGAAAACACAGCACGCAGCGCCCTAGCTCACTTATCTTAGCTCCTCGTGAAAAACAGTTCATGCATCAACGATATAGTTCTTCTTCTTCAAGTTTAGACAGTTCTGATAGTGATGAAACCTGGTCGCCGAGGTTCGCAAGGAAGTATCATCAAATCAAACAGGGTCGAGTTAAACCAAGATCTCATGTGAGTCAAACTTCATCAGAAAGCACGCCTTCTCCACCTAACGTTTCTTCAAGAGGAGTTCATTCAGGGGAAACAACTCCATTAGAAAATCGTGATTTCATATCTCCAGATAGGCCTGCTGCTGTGATGACAAGTTCGTCTGAAACTGTTCCTAACCTGACAAATTCTCTCACAAAGAGAAAGGGGCCACCACCCCCTGTTCCAAGCAAACCTTCCACAGGCAGGAGGTCACCTGGAATTCGTATGGGGCTGCAATCCCCTGGATTCAGACATAACAAAAAGGAAACAACGATTGTGCAGGATTTAAAAGATGTGTTACCAAAATGTCAGGAAATTAAAACCGATGCTTACCACCATCAACAACATGTGGATTACACAACAACGGCTACAGAACCTCAGATAGAGGTTCAAATGAACCAGAAAATCATTGTGTCGGCCGAGTTGAGTTTTGACAAGGCTGAAAAAGTTGAAAGATCAGGTAGTAAGGACGATGGATATTCCACAATGTCAAGTGATATTCAACCAGAAGCTATGGAGAAGTTCAACGACGCCTCCATACAAAATAAGGATTTGGGTGTCAAAAAAGAGACAATAGCTAAGGTTAATGAACCACCGCCTGCACCTGTGACAGTGGTGAAAGTTAGTAAGCCAGATTTGACCTCTGACCCTGATTCAGCAATGGATAGTTCAACTCACAGCACAGAAATGAGAAATTCCACCCACAGTCTTTCTTCACAGAATTCTAATTCAAGTGAAGATCGTGCAGCAGTGTGTGGGTCCTTGGGACGAGTCAAGGCCATGAAAATCCTTTTCGAGGCTGAAAACCAAAAGCAAAATGATAGCAAATTCATGAAATTTCCCCTGAGAAAATCTCCGTCCATGGATAGTAAGCTTAGTAGCAAGGACACGCAGGAACGGAGAAATCTCAATCGCAGGTCACTTGGTGATGATTTTAAAATGTTTGTTCCAGAAATACATCAAAATCACTGGAGTGGAGAGGTCAATAAGGTCAACTCAGAAGAGGTACCAGAGGAGTGTGATCCTCCGATGCCTGATAATAGTATGGATATTCCAGGATTGGACGTGGACGAAGAGGAGGAAACTGATGAACGGAGTTCTCTCCCATCACTTCCTGTTTTTCATCATGTACAAACACTTAATATCAGTGAGGAGAATTTCCTTTCTGATATTCCTGAGGAGAAGGATGAATGGGAAGCTTCAACCAATTCCTGTGACAAACTGCTGGATGATTCACTCCGAAATCTCGAGTCATCGACAAAGTATTACGCTCACCTTCAACTCCTTCAGACATTCAGTTTAAAACGGTACTGGTGCTCAACTGAAGGTTTAGCACGGGTTCTCTCTGACAGTGACCTTTCTTCATTGTCAAAGGTCAAGGACATCAATATATTTGATGACCTTGTGGTTGAAAGCAAAGTCACCAAGCCTCTAGAAAGGTCAGTGTCATTATCTGACATGTACACCAAGAGAACAAAAATGGTCTCCAAAATGAAGGTCATACCTAAACTGGGTAGGAAGCCATTGAAGAGTGATAGACAGGAAAAGAACACCATGAGAAAGCAAATACTGCAACAGGTAAGTGTAATACACAACATTTAATTGTTAACAACAGTTTTAGAGAAATAATAAGATTAGCATAACTATTGGGTGGAGGTTCAGTCAATTGGAGATTTAGACTACGCTGAGTCATGTAAAGATCCAAGGTGTGTGGTTCTACACTCTGTACCCATTGCCCAACCCATCTGTGCTGACCTACAGGGCATTAAGTAACCCTAATTGTTCAGGTTGGCATGCAATGGGCCTCCAGTATATTGTTCATTGAAGTAGCCACCAGATACTGAAAGGAGACTCCACTTCAAAATGATGCCAGATGGGTGGTAAAACTGGCAAACAATCTTAACCTCTGTTCAATTCTGGGAATAATAATCATACTAAGGAAATTCAAGAAAATGATCATGGTAGTATGTATGTATCGGTATTAATAAGAAGTTGTTTACTTAGTTTGAAAAATTCTATTAAATATCTTGCTTATTTCAACATACTTAATCAAACGAATTGTCAATCTTTCACAGCTGGCCCGCGAGGTAGAGAGCGAATCGGATGAGGACAACTCTATTCACCAATTTCATTCATTGTTGATACAGAACCATGTACGAAGCACCCAACAGGTAGGACCAAAAAAAGGGACATGCTATATATTTGTAATTAAAAAAATTTATTATATATACATGTCAAGATTAATCTGATTTGTAATAATTATAAAAAGAAATTATTAATTCAGCTAAATGATTTTGGCAAAAATGTATCTCTTTGTCAATCAAATACTGACTCTTTATTTTATTTATTTTTTCTTATTATTCAGGTCTCTTGTCCATCAAGATCATCAAGCAAATATGCTGGCCCCTCTGATTTCTCAGATCCCCAAAGCAATAGTTCCCAGCATGATCATGCGACAGGTAATGGGTCCATGGAAGCATTAGTGCTGCCCTCTGGTGAGGAGATGATTAGTGAACAAGGGAGACAATTTAGTAGCAAAGAGGCCAGCCCAGCTCCTGACATTGAACAACAAGGCAAGTTTCGAAGTGACTATTATAGTCTCTGTAATGTTGGATCAAATCGTAGTCTGCTCTCAAGTGGAAATGAAGGTGACATAGATGTTCAACCAAACAGCGAGCCTCTTCCTCATACCTGCCAAAATGGAGACAATGCAAATTGTGAACAGTGTTGTATCAGTGGTAACAATCAGGAGTTTGACGAGATTTCGCGACAGTTAGAAAGCCTGTCTAAGACAGTTAATGCACTGCATCAGAGTTTGACGAGCCTCAATAGCTGTAATACAGACAACGATTCAAACGAGGATCATTCTGAGTTGTTTAACACACCAGCTGAGAATTACAAAGACACTGAAGGCTACCAGTGGGTGGAAGATGAATTCTACCTCACTCCCTGTGGGGGAGAATTGATTATGGGAAACTCTCCATTTTCCGAGACCGGAGCATGTTGTGATTGGGTAAATGAATATGCTGATGATACTTCCTGTAATGATGAATTTGAGTTCTATGGCAATTTTTCGTCAGCTGATATTGGTGGATTGGGTGATGTTAAGTCTGTATATCCTACAATTACTGAGGAAGAAAAAGACGTAGACACTTCTATACCAGCTCCACCTGCTGGGGCCAAGGGAGAGAACTCTCCAAAAGTCAAAAGGCCAACAATGTTAGATCATCAATTGGAGCGAACACAATCTGAAAGTTCGGTTGTGCTTGACCCTCAGGTAAGGATAAGATAAGATTCTAGATATTGAATATCACTTGCTCTACAAAGATAATTTCAAGGTTAACCTTAAAATCAAATTTTCATTTTTTCAATATAGTACAAAAAAATATTGCCCTCACAAGTATTGAATTTATACCACATTGTTCTTTATACATGTTTATATTTTTAAAGTCTTGAGATATGAACACAGTATACAAACTAATTTCTTATATGTATTTTTATCATTGGCTTTGAAATTTTGGCATAATTTCAGAACTGTTCACTATAGGAGGAATAGATAAACTATTTCCAAATTGTGTCAGGAAAATCTTGATACAATAATTGGTCAGTTATCACTGTATTTACTTGTACGTATATATCAACCACTGAAATGTTGATCTCCTCAGATTTTGTCTTAAGTATATCAGGAATTTTCGAAATCAAAAGAAATCCTTCTAAGATTTTCATAGATGTCTGTTTCCTGAGAGAACAGCCATAGACGTATCTCTTGCGTTTGTTAAATTTTTACTTTTTCTTTTTTATTCCTTTCCAATTTTTATAATTTTCATTTAACAGACGCGGGCAGCCATGCTGGATTCAATGATTCAGTTGAGTGGAGGCAGTATGGATAGCTTGGATGATAACATCGGAGTTGACCATGTTATGTGCTCACGTCTCATGGGCAGGGGAGGTAATTTCATTAGATTTTAGATTGTAAAACTTGATTTAACTTGAACAATGCTTTACATATATCTATATGTATATATCATTTCTTAGACGTCAAGATGTCAGATGTCTATATTCTGTACATAATGATAAATTAAAGGTTGATAAGGTATTTCTGTTAAAAAGAACTGTTTTTCCAATATATATCAAGACTATTAGCAGTATGCCTATACAGAACGTACTCAAATTATGTAAATATATTTATTATTCAATTTGTATTTTCTATTAATATCGTAATCAGGCTTTAGATCTTTTCAACACTTAATTAACTATTATTACTTTCTATTTTCTAATCCCTGAGAATTTTAAAAATCTAAATTTTTTTTCAGATAAAATGGAAGCCCTGAGGTCTCCAACCAAAGTGAATCGTCCTGCCATGGATTTGTCAAAGTTCTTCCTACGATTTGGTGACAAGGAGATGGAGGCAATGGCAGCGTTTGACTTTCTCAATGATATGACACCTTCTCCGAACCCGCGTCATCCTCCACCACCTGACCAATCAGCCAGCTCTGAGGAGAGACAGGAGAAGACTGACAGAACAGGATCTCTGGAGGAATCTCTGACAAAAGCTGAATCAATGTCGCCATCTGTTAAACCTAGTGTCGAGCACAAAGAATCTGTTCCTCTGGTAAAATCAAAATCTCAGGTAACAGGTTCACCAAAGCCAACCCAGACATCAACAGGAAAGGTCACTCCTGCTCTTAAGCAAGCCCAGAGATTTGCTGCAGGTTCACCAACAGCGATTGGAATACATGCACATAAAAACGATTCTAAAGTTGTTCACAAACAGGACCATGGATCGTCTGAGAAATGTTCTACAAAGCATGGACATGGACCGGCTGCGGGGTCAGCTGGTGCTCAAAAGCATACAATGGGATTGGTTGTTCACAAGTCTGTGCCTTCATCCCAACATCAGGAATCAACTGCCACAGTGCCTAATGCCACAGATTCGAAGAACAATCTCCAGAAAACAGACAAATTACATGCTTCTGTTTCAGATAAGAACCAAACAGGGACCAGTGCAAGTGTTTCTTCTCCTAAACCTACCCGCATGGGGTTCTTCCGACGGAAAAATTCTAGTTCTGATAAGAAAACAAGTTCAGAAGAAAAGCCTTCAAAACTACCGAAGAAGTTTTCTCAAAATTCAAAGGAAAAAGAAAAAGAGAAGGAAAAAGATAAATCCAAAATTCCTAAAGCTGTGAAACAGGAACAAACACAAAATAAACCTACACGTAGGTTTTTACGCTCTAGTGGAAAATCCTCATCTGTTACAAATATATCTTCCTCCCCCAGCCACAAGTAAAATCAATAAAGGGAGGTTACTCAAGGGTCCAAGGGAGATAACTAGGGCAGGGATTTAAAAAAACAAAAAAGAATCAGGAACATTTTCGTACAAGATATTTACACATTAAAGTATTTCATTACATTCATGTGGATTATAAATACTCATGTAACATTTAATTAAGTCAACTGGATTTAGGGCAATTTTTTATGAAAAATAAAAACTTTGAAAAAAAAAATATATGTGATTATATACCTTGCTTCATCTTCAACAATTGTTTCGAGTTCTTCCAATTTGTTCTTTAGTTTTTCGTTCTGATACATTTTCACATCGTGACAAATATTTTGCAAATTATTTCTTTATTTTGCTGATATTTTGTTTTTCTTTTAAAACAAAGGAAGAACTGTTGTAAGATGGAGCACCAGGTAATTTTCTTTTCAACTTTGTACTCTTTTGTGTTTTTCGAAAAAGGATCAGTGCAAAGGGTCACTGTAACAAACAATGTTACACTTTTTGTGCTGTGTGTTGCATGTGTACCAGAGTTGGTATTTATAATAAACATATTTGCAAACAAGTTTATGCTAGATAGAGAACACAGGTTCGTCAGTTAAGATCTTGTGATGCAGGAGGTACTGTACCTCCTACCAGAGTTGGTATTTACAATAAACATATTTGCAAACAAGATTTTGCTAGATAGAGAACACAGGTTCGTCAGTTAAGATCTTGTGATGCAGGAGGTACTGTACCTCCTACCAGAGTTGGTATTTACAATAAACATATTTGCAAACAAGATTTTGCTAGATAGAGAACACAGGTTCGTCAGTTAAGATCTTGTGATGCAGGAGGTACTGTACCTCCTTAAACCTGGCGTTAACGTTTTTTTTTGGTCTTGGTGATTGATTCCTTAATATATGCAGAAGTTTTAATGATTAAATGTCTGTGGTTAAAAAGTTGAGTAAAATTGAAATAGTTTAGGTTTGCATGGAAAAAATAAATAAGAATGCCAAAATGTTTATATCTTAAAAACAACTACTGGTTCTAGAACTGTAATCTTTTAACACATTTTAAGAGTTGTTAATTATATAGAGGGAGTGAATCTTTCGCTTGATCTTGATATCAAGGTACATGGTATGAGTAGAACATGTACTGTTATTGTGACTCCAATAGTTAGAAAATAGAATATTATTCATGTCTGACTTGCGTAAGCTGAATAAAGACGATACAAAAAGCATTGTTTGGTTCCTCAGGTACACATACCGGAGCACAAACTCGATCAGTCTCAAATGAATCTGCATTAATGTCAAAATCCTGCATTATCTTGTATCGTGTTTATTTTGTGACCAAAAGAAAATTCATTTAGAATACAAAACTTGTATGACAAATTGTTGTGTGCGGTATTACATATGTATAGCTGATTATGAAAACACTTCCATTTTCCATATGGGACCGCTAATATTTTATAAAAAAAAAAAAACACCATTTTTCATGATGTACGTGCCATATTGTAAGAACAATTGAGTATAAATTTTGTACGACACCGTTTTGGAGAATCATTTTTATACCTACATATACACCACACTGATTTTATAACATTTTTGAAGCATTTTATTGCAATCTATGCAAAAGTATTTCCTTTTTAACAATTTGTCCATAATTCCATCATTCCTTTGCCAAGCAATATCATTGCCCTTATAAGTTATATACAACTGTAATGGATGAAGAAGGGAGACAAACACTGCAGTCAATCACAGTTACAGAACAAATTTTGTTTTCCAGTAATTGGTAACTCCCAGAAATGTTTTGTTATTAATTAACAAAAAGGTAATTAATAAGAATTATGTGATGGTTGATTGCAGTGTTGTTAATTGTTGACAGTGGCGTGTGGTATATAAAATTTTATTGAGAGATATATATATGTATAGACGTATATATTTATGTCTTGATGTTGTGGTAACCAGGAATGTATTTTGTGAATGCATGAGTCATCTATTACATAATAAATTGTTTTCTGTAACCTTGGCAACTCCTGAAAGCAGTTCTTCCCATTTCCATACATTGATAATCAAAGCCAAGTTGCTGTTCTTCCTAATGTATAGAATTGCAAGAACCTGTGATTAATTAGTATCACCTGCGATATGAAAATGAAAGTAATTAAGAGTATTTTTATCTAATTGTTAAAAATAGTCACAAATATTCCTGAGATTTACATTTTTAGCCTAAATGAAATTTCAAAAAATCAACATTTGGAATTTTCATGGAAATGATTATTCATTGTCTCATATCCAAAATCTGATATATATCATCTTATCATATATGAATCACTGTCATAGGTGGAATGGAATTATTCAGGAGGAGAATACCCACTTGATCATGTAAATGACTCCCTGTCTTACCATATCTCAAATGAAATATGTCCTTTTTGATCAATAGAATGAAGTGTATTTGATCAGTTTTAAATCACAAATTTCACCTTTCTGAAATGAGGAATTTCATATAATCTTTCATTGGTTATATGTTCTAAAGAGCAAATCATTACTGACAATGCTTAACAATTTTAGTTTATATAAGAATGCAGCATTATATTCTATCAAACTAAACAGCATGAAAACTATCAAGGGAGATAACTCCATTTTTTAACGTAGTAAAAGTCAAGATCTTCAGGACATATTTTTTGCCCTTTTAGAGTTCTTTTATAACATGTAACACAACTGTAACCTGTCTTAGACAGAGGGATGACTAGTTTTTAATAAAGGGAGATAATCAGTAATTACCTTTTAAAGAGGTTTGCTGTTATGTAATCTTTCATGTGAATATGTTGAATTTAATTATTATAGATTTTAGATTAAGTTATTGTTGGAGAGAGAATTGTATAGAGTGTCTGTGATGATATGTATGGTCTGTCTCTGATACATTATCATGTACATTTATAAAATCTCACTATGTTGTTCTACAGTAGGTTGAGCAGGAGAAAGTCTTACTTACTAGGCCTTGTTATTTATTGTGTATTGTTTATAGACAAAAGGATAAAAACACAGTAGTATGTTTAGTTAACATAAAAAAATTATATATGGATTTGAACTCAAATTATTTGCTATTATAAAAGATTATTGTATGATTTTGGTACATCAACTTTAGTGTTCATTGGTGGTGCCAAAAATAACCAAATATCGCCAATGTTTCTTCTATTGCTACTTTTACTTCCTCAGTGCAGTATCATTGTTCAGGTGATCTACATTGGTTAATTTATTAACTCTATTCAAGAGGAATTTGACTCATTAAGGTTATACACTTTGTTTTAAATATGTAGGGATTGAATTTTAAAAAATATACATATGCTCAAAACCATTTCTTGGATGAAAAAAATTTTTATAAAAATTATGAAATACAAACTTCCCTCATATGTATATCAAGCAAGTTATTTCAATTTTACTGCAGACAAACACACTGAGAAACGTCATATGTTCATTTGTATGGAACTGATAACAACTCAATATATAAAAAATACTGAAAGTAGACACATGTAATATCAGTAACTATTGGAAAAAAACGTCATGTTATTGCTGTGTGTGACATGTAATACTTTCTTAATTGTGTTTAAATCAGAGGCCTTACCACTTTACATGGTTCTTTGATACAGAAATAATACAAAAATCACAAAGCATGTTGTAAGACCGATCCGAAAATATGAATTGAAATCTACAAAATCAGTCTGTTATTGAAATTAATTTTAACAGAGTATGGACGCCTGACTGAATGACCTTATGACCTATAGAAACTTACATGACCATTACCAGGTATGTCAGTTTCCAGTTCATGTGCTATTCTGAACTTTTGAACTTAGATAGGTCAGTCATGAAAATAACAAGCATTTCAATCTAAATATGATATTTAATTTGTTAGATTTTTGTGACATATTGTTTCTTCATCGTGTCATGATGTATACACGTGTGTGCATGTTTATGTAGCTGTATTTTATAATGTTGCTATGACAACCTTTTGTAAGCACCCAACATGGATACCTGAATATTATAAAAACCAAATAAAAGAACCCAATAAGTATTAATGATTTTGTTACTTATTCGAATACCAATATATACAAAATTACGGTTGAACAAACCCAAGGCAAGTTATTTTGAGCCTAAAATCATCCCAAATAATGAGTGGGTGACGAAGGGGATCTCATCCTTAAAAAATTACCGTTGAACAAACCCAAGGCAAGTTATTTTGAGCCTAAAATCATCCCAAATAATGAATGGGTGACGAAGGGGATCTCATCATCTCCATTGGGGCAAGATTCTTTAGTAGCCTAACACTAATTATGAGAAATTCGCCAAATATGTTATGCATTGTATTTCGACTTGGCTTGCAGTAGTTGCGAGAAGTTACCATACTTTGACGCGGAGATGATAGGAGAGTCCAGCACGATATTTTAATTCACCGGAATTAAAAGAGCATTTGTTGGACGCAGACTCCGATATCATGATTAGACGACCTCGAGGTCAACGGAAATGCGGGGGTAAAGGAAATACCCTAAAGACTCAACATCAAGATGTTCAAGTAGAAAGGCCGAAGTGAACAATCACACACTTATTTTATCACATAACTGTGTACACTGTGATTTCCGAAAAGTGCAGTCAAGTTTTAAAAACAGACTTTTAAGGAAAACTTTAATAAAAGGGAAATTTAGTAATAAAACACTGGAACAAGAAATTTATAATCCTATCCACATTCTCCACTCTATTAATACTAATCGGTAGATTTTAGTCCTACTTCCCAGACATTTTTAATGAATAAGCTGGATATTCTTGTTCCAGTAATATAAAAACAAAGTCGATTAAACGCACATAAATGGGTCTGGTCTTTCAATATAAGTTTGTTTTTTCAGAGATCAGAGATATTTTTTGTCGCTCTGAAATATTCAGGGAGACTGGAGAAAAGCTCCCCGAACCATATATACCATATTTTGAAAGATGTTGAATATGGGAAGAGCTGGGTTATTTCCAAATGTCTAAATATTGAAGGGAAAAGTTCCGTTTCCATGGCGAAAGATTAGTAAGTGAGAAAGATGTTGCAGGGGAGGTAACTCTTGTTATGTAATCGCCTTGCCTCTTATCGTCCGGTTTGTCAGATACCCAAACAAGTTGTTTACTGGTTGATAACTGGATATATCATTCACGTGACAATCTAACTTAATTACTAACGAACATGCAATATAATTTTAATGTTTTTAAAACTTAAAATTTTAAACATATCTAAGTAATGAAGTTTTTTAATTAAT